AGCAGCAGCAGCAGCAGCAGCAGCAGCAGCAGCAGCAGCAGCAGCAGCAGCAGCAGCAGCAGCAGCAGCAGCAGCAGCAGTGATGCGATGATGGATGAGAGGAGCTCGTTCCTAGTCGCCGCGCTGCTGCGCTAGTTCCGCAAGCAGCAGTCGTCGTCCTCCTGGCCGCCGCCCACGGCAGGGTGGCGAGGTGGGGGCAGGTCTGTTTGTGCGTCCATATCGGCCACCCCAGATCGCCGCCGCCCCCCGCCGGCCCCCGCCGCGCCCCGCGGTGGTGGCGTGCAAGATACGCCCCGAGCGGCACTTACGCCCTTAGACGACGCGTCCGGACTTCCGCGTTGATAAGGCTCGGTTTCGCATACGAAATGAGCGCGTCCAGGAATAGCGCCCCGAGACTGAGTCGGGTCGTTGTGCCGTCTCGGCGTGCCCAGCAGGACGTGTGGAGCTGGGACAACCTCCGCGACGGCTGCGGCGACACCAAGAACTGCCTCGGCTTCCCGGAGAACTGCGAGTCGGACAGCAGCGCGCAGTGCACCGCCATCGTCACGGTGCAGGTCCTGCCGCAGGACGAGCCGACCGCGCCGGGGGGCAAGAGCGACATGTTCACCTTCAGGATGAGGGCCTCGGACGCCAAGTGGGTCGCCGTCGGGCTGGGAGAGACCTCGAAAATGGTAAGGGAGGATTCCCCGAATCCCGGGTCCCAGTCGTCTGTCTCTCTCTCACTCACGTTTGGGGTCAGGTGAGGGGGGTGCAGACAGAGGATTGGCCCGAGGGTACACACTCGATGGAACTATACGCACCGTGTGCACCAGAACCAACACCCAAGTCCAGTGTTGTGGGTCTGCACATGCACACCATCTTGGGCCGCATGGGCCGTGGTGCCTGACGGGCGGAGGGAGCATGCAAACCCGGAAAACTATAGAGGGTGTTTGCTCTGGAACATTCCGATAGTATTTAGACATGTCTCGTCCTCTGTCCCGCAGCACGACACTAGCGTCATCGAATGTGTCGCAAACCCCGACGGCACGATTGAAACCTACCTGTCCTACACGCCGCAAGCGAATGAACGGAAAGACTGCATACGCATGACCAACCCGGGCGGTGCCATCAAACTGAGGCAAAGCAGATACATGGACGCGGGCCTCTTCTGCGAGGTGTCGCGCGTCAACCAGTCGAGGCTCATAAACATAGATTGGAACCTGGACGAGAAGCCCTTCTTCCTACAGCTCGCCTTGGGCACAAAATTCAAGAGTGAGTACTATCGGGATAACAAACAACAAAAAACGGAAAGCGTTTTGCTCTGAATCACTATTTACGTTTGAGTATGATTGCAGATATTGGGGGCATCGGCGGCCTGATGCAGCACAACAAGGGCGCCGTGTCGGCGGCCAGCAGTGTGCGGCTGGACGCGTACCGGACGCTCGGCGCCGCCTCCAACTGGCCCATGCGCCTGCACGGTGCGCTCATGGTCCTGGCCTGGATGTTCGCCGCCACGGCCGGCTCGCTCGCCGCGCGCTACTTCAAGGCGGCCTGGGGGAAGGCCACCATCTGCGGCAAGGCCATGTGGTTCGCGGTGAGTATAGTGCGGCGGATTTGAGCTTGGACTCGAGCCTGATATGGGGAAGGACCTGCGAGTGCGAAACACGTGATGGCTCCCGCCCTGCTCGGGTTCGGACCGAACGTGACTCAGCTGAAAGATAATTTGGCTACCTTGCAAACAACAATCCGCGTTCGGTCCACATGCGAGGCCGCGGGAAGCATACGCGCCCCCGTCCTCAAAATTTCGGTTTTGAACGGTTTGAAACATCCAGCATGAGTTTTGAGAAGGGTGCCGCCCGTCCCTCTCGTGGGTTGGCGGGGGTAGTGCCATTGGCGCGGCTCTACCCCGAGGTCCCCGCTGTCGCAGAGAGGGAAGTTCGCCCGCCCGACCCGCACCCGCTCCCGCACCCGCACTGTTACACTGGGCTGGGCAGGGCACCGGGGGGTCTCTGGGGCCTCTGACCCGCGCGGCCGCAGCGCGAGACTATGCCCCTCGACAATGCCATTGGGGTGTTTTGCTTAATCGCGGGACGGTATGACGAGGCATTCCGCAGCGAGCATCTTTGCCGGGTCACTTCCTCCGATAACGGCGGACTCATTCTTCGTCGTGAAACGGCTCATCGACACTAAACGTCGAAAAGTGTGTCATGTCGGAAGGGGGGGGGGGGGGCTGACCGTGACATCGACAGGAAGTGCGAAAGAGGTGTCAGTTGGGGGAGGTGTGGGTGGGAGGTGTAAAGAGAGCGCAGGTGCGTCGCTCCATCTCTAAGCACCGGACGATGCATGCTACCATGACGAGGCACTTTCTTTGAGAGCGACTGGGACACTCTGTTGGATTAAGTTGCCCCTCATTGCCCCCGTCGCTGGGCCGCCGAGGGAGGAAGACTCTAAGATCTCGTGCGCAACGGATTACCCCCGGACTGCCGCCCCACTACTCCTGGATCAACCCGAATTACCCTTATTTGCGTCTGGGATAAGCAACAGATAACCCCGGATTGACACAGGCCGTGTCTCGCAGAATAACCCAAGTCACTACCCGATTTCCCCGCCACACACTACTACACAGTCGACAATAACGTGTTATTTGTGCACAGTGGCATCGCCTGCTCATGATACTCACCGTGGTGCTGCACGTCGTTGCCATCATCGCGGCCCTGATCTACCTGGAGGGCTGGTCGTCGTCCTCGGGCGTCCACGGCATCCTGGGCGGCGTCACCACGGCGCTGGCGCTGCTGCAGGGAGCGGCCGGGCTCCTGCGCCCCAGCCCGGACCACAAGTACCGCCCCCTCTTCAACTGGGGGCATCGTGTCCAGGGCTTCGCGACACACGTCATTGCCATCGTCACCATCTTCTTCGCCGTCGGCCTTCCCTACGCGCGCCTTCCCTCGTACACCTACGCCATCCTGGGCGTCTACGTCTTGTTCTACTTCATCCTCCATGGCGTGCACTCGGTGAGCTACAACCGACTACTTTTCTGAGGGAGATATTCCAATCGAACAATAACTTATCGTTAGGAACACTCTTACGTAACATTTCAGTTGTTGTTCAAAACAATACTGAAGCACTATCCTACTTGCTTTAAAACATTTAAGTCCTTTAGAGATGTTCTAATTATTTTTTCTTTCCTTCACAGCTAACTGAAGTGAAGAGCTACTACTTCATTTTTGTCCTCTTTGGGTCTGCTGCATTTGCCATTACAATGCTGATCCTGGTAGTGATTGGTCCAGCATAAGGTCGCATTAAGGGAGTTTCTAGACATGGTCAACGCTGTTCACCCGTTTAAGCGGCCACCTACCAACAAAACACATGCAACACAACTAGGTGGTAATTAAAAGGCACCCACTCAAATTTACTATTAGTGATAAAAATTAATATTATGAATTACTATAAGATAGTGTACTTAATAAACAACCCTTTTTATAAAACTCTTTATTAATAACATGACAATAGGCGTGTGTGTTTCATTTTACTATTAAAAATCACTTTTAATCCTAACACAAAACGACAACAAAATAGTACGAAAATAAGTGTTTTAGACACAATACTGGTTCAGTTTTGGCTCAAAATGAGGATATGACAGACACATGTCTCATGGAAGAATTCTTACAGAGTTAATTATTTTGTGCACCAACAGCTCTTGAATAATTTACTCGAAGTGCAGTCTTGATTGTTTCTTGCCAATTAATGCTGAAATTCTAGAAGAAAAATACCAACACAGTTAGAGATTTGATTTAAAGACTACAGAAACTTTTAACAGTTCTAGAAACATACCCAAAACTGTTTAACTGTTTTTCTGTGGAACTTTAACAATCACTGATTTAATCTCACTGTAGGCATTCAAAGCATCCTGTCCAGCATCTCGACCAAAGCCAGACTGTTTGTAACCACCAAATGGCACCTGGACTGACAGGGCATTGTAGGTATTAATCCTGAAAATTATTTTTCCGTTAGTTTCATAAAAGATAATTTAGTGAAAACCTGCTAAAACTATTACGAATAGTCGTTAAATATGTCTCACCATACAGTTCCTGCCCGTAGACCTTGCATAATGTACATAGCCTTATCAATGTCCTTTGTCATAACAGCAGCAGCAAGACCATAGTCACTGTTGTTTGCTCTCTGAATGACCTCATCAAGGTTCTTAAAACGAATAATCTGCTGGACTGGGCCGAAAATCTGGCAACAAATTTATTACATGAAATGGGTTTGATATCTACTGTAAAAGTAATTAACACCTCATGGGCCAGTGCTTACCTCTTCTCTTGCAATTCGCATGTCATCCTTGACATCAGCAAACACAGTTGGTGCAACAAAATATCCCTTCTCACCAACCTGTGCACCGCCAGTGACAAGTTTCGCACCTTCTTTCTTGCCACTGTTGATCATTTCAAGAATCTTGGACAGTTGCTCCTGGTCAATCTAAAAGGCAAACAATGTAACACCAACATCAAACAAAAATAAAGCATTAATTATCTGAAGAGTGACTCAAAAAGAAGCCTCTATTAGGGTATATATACTCCAGTTTCCCCCAAAAAGGAGGCAACTAAACAAAGACTGAAAAAATTTAAAAATAAATTACAAAATTATACCTGTGGTCCCTGTTCAACATTCAGATCAAAAGGATTGCCAACAGTACGTTTCTTAGCTCGCTCCCCAGCTGCTTCCACAAATTTGTCATAAATGTCATCTTGGACAAAGGTACGGGAACCAGCACAACAACACTGACCCTATAACAAAAACAAAAATATAAAATTAACTACTGTGTATGCAGAGTGTACTAAGTGCAAACAATTCAAATCTACACTGTAATTTGCAACTTAAACAGTTCGTAATAATCACCATGTTGAAGAAAAGACCAAAATGAGCTGTTTCAACAGCCTCAGTAAGATCAACATCTCCTAAGATGATATTAGGAGATTTGCCACCAAGTTCAAGAGTAACTCGTTTCAAAGTATCAGATGCACCCCTCTGAATAATTTTTCCAACCTAGACAAAATTTGGGATAAAAATTGATTTAAAAAACATTATTTATTTTAGAGAGAAAGGAACAAACCAATATTTACCTCTGTAGATCCAGTAAAAGCAATTTTGTCCACTTTAGGGTGCTTTACAAGAGCCTCGCCAGCCTCCGCAAAGCCAGGGACAACGTTAAAGACACCTGGAGGAAATCCAGCTTCTTTGGCCAATTGGGCAACATGGAGAGTTGTCAGCGGTGTTTGTTCAGCGGGTTTCACAATAATTGTGTTACCCATGGCAATAGCCGGGCCAAGTTTCCAAGAGAGGAGCATGATTGGGAAATTCCAAGGCAAGATTGCACCGACAATTCCTACTGGCTCTTGTCGGGTAAAAGAAAAGAAAGGTCCATCCATGGGGATGGTCTTGCCATGGAATTTGTCAGCAAAGCCAGCAAAATAACGAAGATTATTTGCAGCTCCTTTCACATCCACAGGCAAGGACATGTTGTATGGTTTGCCATTATCAAGTGTTTCAAGTGACTGCAATAAAAAAGGTTTTAATTTATTATTTGAGCATATAACAGACACAAAATAAATCAATAAATTTGTCAAACTGACCGCCAGATAAACAGCATCCCTATCTATCAAGTCAGCCAGGCGATTGAGAAGGTATCCTCTCTGTGAGGCATCCATAGTGCGCCATGGGCTCCCAAGGCGGAAAGCTTCATTGGCTGCTTGGACTGCCTTGTCAACATCAGCCTAAAAAGCAACAAAGTTTCAAAAGAAGTAAAAACGAGTAAAAAAAACAAAAAAACATTTGCAATGGATTTAATGAAACCAACTTTGCCGCCTTCTTGAATTTCAGCAACAGCTTCACCTGTTGCAGGATTAATGGTTTGGAATGTTTTTCCAGATGATGACTTGTGCCACTCATTGTTGATGAATATCTGTGAGCAAATCACAATAAAACATATCAGTTAGTACACAGTCTTCACAAAGATAAAAAGTGGGTTCAATGACATTTGATAAGTTACTTTAATGCTAACTGACAAGAAACTTTCCGCATGGCAACAAGTCTTAAAGTACTCGAGGTATTTATCATTTAATTGACTACAGCCAGTTGCCAGTTCTTGGGCTCTCTCCAAGGCCAACCTTGGCCGTCGAGCCCCAGGACAGGTCCAGGCAGGGGACCAATCCGGCCCGGACATGCGACCTTGAAGTTACATAACATTGTCACTCTCAACTCGGTTATGCCGGCTTATTATCGAAACAGCATTTTAACAAGTACCTACAATTAATCGATCCCGGTTAAGCAAATGGTGACACAACTAGCACTGCACGAATCACACTCCACCGGCCTCAGACATAAAGCAAAGCTAACAGAAGCAAGATAACCCCGTCAGCTGATTTGTTGTTGTTTTGAAACTGCCTCACTGACCACCCACTACAATGAACACACCCTGTCCAGAGTCTGGTAGGTTGGTCCTAACTCTAAGGGCAAATTTTCAGCGGAGGAATGCCCTGCGACATAATCATTTAGGGCCTAAACTTACCCCAGAGTATAAAGCTTTGGCGTCTGGCTGGGGAGCCGGCAGCTGAGCAGTGGCATACGTCTGGCAGGCTTGTACTCCGCCTGCGAGAGGCTTCCTGCAAGCCTCCTGCAGCTGTCGGACAGCGGACGATTTCAGGACGGTGCGCAACATCGCTGAGAAGTGGCTGTTACCGACTGAGGGAGACAGAGACAGACCCCGACCCCGCTGGCTTTGCTCGTAGCGTGTGAGTGTTGAGTTGAGTGGGTGATAAGACAAGTGGGGGAAGGAGGAGGGGAGACATACGAAAATACAAGTAGGGAGGGGAGGGGGAGGACACACATGTAGCATGTAGGTAGGTGAATTCACCTGATGAGGGAAGGGGGCAGATGACGTGTTTCAGATTAATAGTTTACGGAAGTGTACAGGATCGCTGATTGGAGCATTAGAGAAAATGTCTGAACATTTCATCCGAAGTTTTACTTTCTTCCTGCTGGTACCGTAAGCAGCCCCTTTGGGCGTGAACGGTACCCCCCCCCCTCCCCGCCACCTCATGAACTGATTAAGGGGCTGGCAAAATTGGCGAAGCGTACACACTAATTCGGGGTTTTTATTAACTGAAGTAAATTTGTTAATTTTAAAGTCATTTTTTAAAATATTTTTGTCCCGATTTCCTAGTACGCGGTCCTAGAATACGTCGGCGGTTATGGGGTACGTGCCTCTCGCGTTTGAATTTGCCACGACTTCGCGCCTTTAGAAGCAGTCCTGACTTTTCGCTGACGTCCTGCTGGAGAAACAGAAGAGGTTATGCCTTTTCTCCAAATCCACTTACTAGGTAGTTTTAAAATATCAAGAGCTTTCATTAGTGTTGTCGGATATGAACGCAGAGCGTTTCTTGTTCGTTTTACGTGAGAGATTTGCAATATTAGTGAAAAATCTTAACGTCGGCGCGTCGGCTGCTGCCACTCCGATTCACGAGAAAACGTGATGGCATGTTTCGATGCTATCTTTTACCATCTGCGATTCAACGAAGCGTTTCTAGAGTACTTCTTGATGTCCCCAGCCGTACTAAGCTGCTACATGTCAGCATAATCTTTAAAAACATAAATGAAGAGTCTTATCGTTAAATTGTTTGACCACCTGATGTTTGTGTTGTGCCAACTCTGCAATGATTCAATACACGAGTTTACCTAGGATAGTCTCTTGAAATCCCCATTTATAACATTTGAGAACAACAAAGGACATTTAAATTACATTGTATAGCGAAATTTACGCTTGTTTGCGCTGATTAAAAGCTTGATACAGCGCCTAAATCTACTTCCACGGTTGCCTATAGTGCCACACTTCGGCGTGGACTTGGACTTGCCGACTACCGACTGATAAACTTGTGGTGGTTTGGAGGCGTTGTAACTTGTGTTGTGTGTTTATTTAGGCGTTTCGAACCAATTATTCCTAATTCCTAAGAGCCTAACAATTAAGTATTTCTGAGAACTAGAATATTGCCGTCATGGCAGAGTTAATGGAGGAACATTCACAATCACCTCTTATGGAAGAAAATAAAGAAATGGATGACCCCATGGAAGGGGGAGTTGAAGAGGAAGATTATGATGAATACGACGAATTTCACAAAGCCCGGGGCTTAGCAGGTCGCGGAGGTATGGGGTAAGTGCTTAGAGTAATATTATATATTCTCATTTGAAGAATTTTGTGTTAGTTCCGCTGTTTGTAGTTGACCATAACCTCTCTTGTGTCGGCTAAGTTTTTAACACGTATATTATTTTCTCCTCACGTTTTTGTATCCTCATATTCTTTCTCTTTGTGGAAGTACAATTTTATCAAGTATTTTCCCTTGAAATTTCAATTTTCATTGTTTTCTAAGGTAATATTCACCCTGGCTGTATTGATCTTTCATGCTCTGTGAGACTGCTGTCTGTTAGATGTTCGTGTAAATATAATTTCATCTTGCTCCATAATATACTGTGTATCATATTCATAATTCAATATTTTTCTGCCAACCTTTTCTGTTTTGGTTTAAATTGTTTGCCCGAATATTGTCTGCAAATAATTGTAATAAGTGTAAATATATTGTTTTCTCGTATTTAAGTATCTTTTTTTTGTTCAGAGGGCCGGAGTATGCAGATTACCCAGATTTTGGTCCAAGGGGGCCACCTATGGGCCGTCCACCTGGTCCTTACGGGATGAATGGTCCTCATGGGCCCCATGGACCACATCCTCGTTTTCGTGGCAGAGGTGGCTTTGGTCCAAGAGGACCACCTCCTGGCTTTAGAGGACCACCTCCACCTCATTTTGGGGGACCAAGAGGACCACGTTTCAGAGGAGGACCACCTCCGAATTGGGACCCTAATTGGGGACCTCCTGGGATGGGGCCGCCTCCTCACATGATGGGGCCTCCCCCACCAGGAATGGTAAGGCAAAATTCTACAATATCTGGTGCTGGCTACAAGTAAACACTCATTACGGGAGGAACCCTGGTAAATTCGTAGTCATTAGCCTAACCGCATTGGTCTGAAATTGTTTTTCAGCCACCCCCCCATGCGATGGGCATGGGGATGCCCCCTCCCAACGGCTCGGCCAGTGGACCACCTCCGGGTGGCCAATATGGCCCACCCCACGGAATGGGAGGCCCCCCCCCAAATATGATGCAACAACCACCACCAACCGTGGTCAGTAAGGGCACTACATGTTGTGTCCATGTACCATTAGTTTGCACCGTTTTGCAAAGAGTCCTTCCAAATGTTGGCAGCACTTAGTCATGGCCCCTTGTTATAGACCCCATTGTTGTGTAGCCCAGCCCTCCCCCCTCCCCCTCTCCACCCTCTCCCCAGCCACCTAAGGCAAACTTGGCTTCTTCTTGTTTGTCTGTTTTCTGACTCGTCATGTATTTTCCATTTTTTCAGGGTGGTGTGAGCAGCATGGATCTGCTGTCTGGGGAAGTCTGGGTTGAAACCAAAGCTGGAGATGGTAAAGTTTATTATTATAATGCAAGAACAAGAGATACAACATGGACTAAGCCCGATGGTCCTGATGTTAAAATACTCACCCAAGAACAGGTAAGTCTTTTGTAAATTGTAATTAACTTTGGTAGTTATGTCTGCTGCTACAATACTCAACATAAAACATCTGCTCAGGTGGAATCTTTGGCACAAGCCGCTGGAGTCCAACCTGGTGCGAATCCAGTTACTACTACAGCTGCTCAAGCTGCTGTTGCCCAAGCTAATTCATCCAATGCCCTTAAAGCTGAGGATGGCACTCAAGCTCCAGGTATTGTATATTTGATTGTTTCTCTGTTCCACATATGAGGCAATATGTTCATCCTATGTATTTTCATTGTCTTTAGGTACAGGTGCCATGCCTAATACCATGCAACCTCCTCCTGGTATGATGCAAGGTCCACCTCCTGGTATGCCACCCTTTGGAGGACCACCCCCTCAGTTTGGTGGACCACCTCCATTTGGGATGCCACCTCCCGGTTATCAGCAAGGATATCCTCCTTACAACGCTCCGCCGGGTGGGGCGCCTGGCGCGTGGAATATGCCTCCGCAAGGCATGCCCCCGGGCGTTGGTCCTATGCAGGTGGGTTGGCTTTTGGGTATTACATGCCGCACTGATCCAGTTTTGCATGCCCTTGGAATACTCCCTTTGTTGCCTGTGTCATCTGCCTTCCATGTCCTATTTCTTCTTCATGGGTTTATCTGTGGTGGAAATCATTGTTCTTTCCTGGGGTTAGAAAGTGTAGCCTGTCCTCAAACGAGCACAACATGTGTTTTTACACAGGGACTTCCTCCGACTGCTATGCCACCCCCTACAGCTGCTGCTGGTCACGGAGCTACTATCTCTTCACCAGCTGTTCCGAACCCTGCAATTGCAGCAGCTGCTGCTCCTCAGCCAGCTAATTGCGAAGAATCTGCTGGACTTCAGGTGGCTGGAACTAATGTAGATGCTGAGTGTAGATGATCAGAAGACTTTTTTGTTTTGTTTTCTTTTCCTGTGTATACTTAGGTATACTGCAATGAGTTTTTCCTTGGTTTGCTGCTTCTCTTCAAATCTCATGTCTGGAATAATTGTTGGTTGGGAATTCTGTTGTTTTGCTTAATTTGGCATATTTCTGAGCTGGATGGACGAAGTGAACCAATAATGCTGCCAATGAGTTCTGAACTTCACCTATCATTTCAGTGTTCTTGTTTGCATGTGAATAGTAGGATATGCTTTGTGCACTTCACCATAAAATTGGTTTTGTTAGGTCGTCACAGTTTTCCCCCTGTTTTAGAATTGAAGAACTCCTTTTTAGAGGGTCACTAATTGTGTTTTCCTTATCTTTTCCAGATTGATCCTGAAATAATGGCTAGAGCCTCTGAGTGGTCTGAACACCGAGCACCTGACGGAAGGTCATATTACTATAATGCTAAGTTAGGACAGTCAGTTTGGGAGAAACCACAACCACTTAGAGATTTAGAAAGTATGTACCTAATTTCAATTTTTGTGTCATTGCTCTCCTGATCTTTATCTTGATTTAAATGCATTGTATTATGTATTATTATTTTTATTTTTGCAGATGCTAAATTGGCTGCTGCTCAAGGTATTGCATCAATGCCTGTTCTAAACACACCTGTCATGGCTTCCGTTGTTCCTAACATGGTCAATAATGAGGGAGAGTCTTCTGATGATGAAGAGGAGGATGATACTGTTCCTGCAGGAACACAGCCAGTTCACATTGAAACTGGTTCCATAAATACACCTATTGTTAATGGTTCAGCTTCTGCTATCAGACCTGAAAATGAGAGCGAGGATGAAGAAGAAAAGGAGAAGAGGAAACAGGCAGATGAAGAAGACCTTAAAAAGAAGCGTGAGGAGGAAGAAAAAGCCAAGGAAATTCAACGTCAACAAGACAAATCTAGACCAGTTTCAAGCACTCCTGTTCCAGGCACACCATGGTTTGTATACGAATTTCTCTAAGACACATCACTAACCAGTGACTAGTGCCTCCCGCTGACTGTTTTCTCTTCGTCTAGGTGTGTTGTTTGGACAGGTGATGGACGCGTGTTCTTCTACAACCCATCTTCTCGCACTTCTGTGTGGGAAAGACCGGAAGACTTGGTTGGGCGTACTGATGTTGATAAGATGGTAGGCAATCCACCTGATTCGCTGTTGAATTCACAAACAAACCAAGGTACTGGTTCAAATGGAGTTAACACTTCAGAAAACTCCGCCTCATTAGCACTCAAGCGTGAAAATAAGTCAGACGATGAACAGCCTGTCCCACCTAAAAAGATAAAGAAAGAAGAACTCCCCATCAAAGGTAAATCAGGTCATTGTCAGTCTTATGTAATGTGTTGTTCTATGTTCTTGACTTAGCATTTTTCTCTTTGCTTTCGTAGAAGTCAAAGAAGAAACAAAGCCCCCTGAGAAGAAGCAGATCGAGGTCGGGAAGGAGGCAGCCATGGAGGCCGAGGTTCGGGCAGCAAGGGAACGGGCCATTGTTCCCCTGGATACTCGCATCAAATCATTCCGTGAGATGTTAGCAGAAAAGGAGGTATGTCAATCACGTAACAATAAATTGTTGTGTTTTTGAAAAATAAATGTATGAGTGACATGATTTATGTTAATTATCCATCCGTCATTTTTGCAGGTGTCTGCTTTCAGCACGTGGGAGAAGGAGCTCCATAAAATTGTCTTTGATCCTAGGTATCTTCTACTTACGTCCAAGGAACGCAAGCAGGTCTTCGAGAAATATGTGAAGGAACGAGCCGAAGAGGAGCGCCGAGAGAAGAGAAACAAGATGAAGGAGAAACGTGACGACTTCCGCCGTTTACTGGAAGAAGCTAACCTTCATGGAAAGTAAGTGTGACTTGTCACTGGGTGTAATCAACTTTGTACTATTCTGTGAAGTCCGTCCTTTAATCCTTACCCTGTATTTCAGATCCTCTTTCAGTGACTTCGCCCAGAAGTATGGCAAGGATGAACGCTTCAAAAATATTGACAAAATGCGTGAAAGGGAGAGTCTCTTCAATGAGTACCTCCTTGACGTGCGCAAACGCGAGAAAGAAGAAAAGCTGCAGAGAAGAGAACAGGTCAGTACCCTATACATTAATATCCTTGGAAAATTGAAGGGCTTGTGGTGTTGCTGGAGTATGGTCAGTTTCATGTGTAAACCTCTACCCACAATTTGAAGTCTTGTGTCAGATTGATTTTGAAACTCTCCATACAATACTTAACAGATCTGTCATAGCCTGATGATAATAATTTTTCATTTGAATTGTTGTGTTTTAAACTACCTATCTTTAGTGGTGACAATTCAGACTGGTCATACTCAGCAATTATTTTTCATTACACATAATTTGGATTTGACACTTTACCGGTGTCGAATATGATCTCATATGTTATATACATTTGCCTATCTTATTGTCTTTGCGTTGTGGGTCTTATTCTTTAGGTTTTGCGTTTTATTTAGGAACCTAAACCTTAGTATTCCTAGGTTACTTGCATGGACCTTTGAGATATAACTTATGTTGCAGTTATTTAAATGCTATTTAAATTACATGACTTACTCATATTTCATTTCTTCTTTTTTTACCAATTGTTTTCCCTTAATTATTTTTTCTGGTCAAGTGATGTTGCAGTCATTGAGTTGTGAGTAGAATGACTACACAGCACTTGTCTGTTTCAATGTGGGCTTTAGTTTTTAGATGTCCGTATGTATTATGAATAGTTTCCTTTCCCCTTAGCATCCAATGTAAGTATCAAAACACCCTTTCATTCAACCTTTACTTGTATAAACTTCTGCGGATTTAAAAAAATGAAAAGCAGACTTAATTGCAATTTCAGATTAATTGAATTGCTTAATTAGTGTGCAAGTTTTCTCTCTCTTCTTATAAGTTTTTTTTTCTTTTTTTTTTTATTAATTGTGTAAATGTGATATGGTGCAATGTGGAGACTGACTTAAATATGATTGGTACAATGTACTTTTCCAGCAACAGTATAATTGGCTTGATAGCCTAGCTGTTTGTGATGGTATGACTTGTTTCTCAAGTTAGACGGACTCAGATTAAATGTAAGATATGAGTTGGAATCTTACCTACACCCTTTTGATGAAGAGCCATCCATAATTATAATGTTCTTTGTAATTCATTCTCAAGAGAGTCTCCTGTTGTACCATTTAACTCTTCTAATGTGCAGAGCTCATTACATAGTTTATGTTCTATTACACTTTGGATGCCATCATGGAATACAGTACATGTTTTTTACTGTTGTTTTGTCACCATTTTCTTGCAGGATTTAATCTAATCTAATGTGATATTTTCTTTCAGGATATCTTCTTGATTACAAGTGCCTCATTTCAAGTATTAACTTTCTTAATTTTAAAGCAAAATTTCAAATTTTTTTACCCCTTCATATTTTTAAGTGAAGGCAACAATATTGCGTTTGAGGCAGAAATTCAAAAACTTTCTTTTAAAATCCTTTTTTGCCTCAATTCAGTTAGTCTTTCATACATTTATCTGATTGAGGCACATTTTTGACTTAATTTGTGTGTTTTTTTATTGGTTTTGTATTTTAGGTTTCTTTGTATTATCTATATTTGTTGTGTTATTGCCTCTTGGTCCTGTTTTCCTGTTGTCTTGGAAATGTCTTGTCAAAATCTCACCATTTGACTTCTGTATTCCGCTTTTCAAGTGTCCAGCAAGAAAGGGCCGTGAAGCTGTCAGAGGACCAGCGTAAACCGTGCGCCGGTTGAGAATCAACCCACCCTTTCCACTACCGCTCGTTTGTTTCGCACATGGTATAAACTAATTAATTTTTAATTTTTCCTTTATCAAGTAAATTCTTTTCTTATCTGTATGCTAAGTCCGATTTCATCAATTGAAACTACTACGTACTTAAAATTCAACTATTCAGATAATTATGACCCTTGAAATTTCATGTAGTCTCTGAACAATTTTTATAAGGACTTTCTTTCTCTGGAATAATTTAACTTAGAGTATGTACTTTGTAAACATGATTCAATTTTGTAATTTGTTGACTTATACCATATTACCAATTTAAGGTCAGTTAGTTATTATTTCTGCACAACTCTCTCAATCTACTAATTAATCTCTTTTCTGATTGTTATTAATAATTAGCCTTCTTGACAAATTCAGAATTGAACATGTTTGCAGATCGTTCTTTGGCTTTTCAAAGACCTGGTGATTCATGGCAGTACTTTTTTTCATCTCATTTTTTTATCTATTTTTTTTTTGTCCTAGTACTTTGCATTTATCTTGTGTTGTCTTTGCTTGTCATATTCTATCTTATTCCGAACACCAGCTCTTTGTTGGCTTACCTAGTGATTTTCTCATGTGTTGTTAATTACCAGTTCAGTACCTGACTTTCACCTACGTAATCTCATAATTTTTGTTTCGTGGCCCCATTAAGCACTTTATTTGGCCCGTTTGATCCATGTTCTGCCACCTATTAGTAACATTAAAAGAAACCTTGTAGTCTTTTGTTTACTCAACTTCAGTGGAATTCTCTGAAATCCGACACAACATTTGGCCTTTTGTCCAACAAGATTAAATTATTATCTTTGTTATCCAACTTGTTTTCATTTTGCTCTGCTTGGAATTTTGATTACAAAGGTGTGCTGATCTGTGTTTGGAAGAATTGAACGTTGGAAATCAGATGCCTATTTTTTTAATTGTGTAATCAATAACTGAATTTTCATTATAGGGTGTCACTACATATGAGTGCTAAAATTGTTATAGTAATGAATATTCCTAAAGATTACGTGATTAAAACAATAACTATTTATCAAGTCCATCTAATAGTTTGGGACCTATGTTTTCTTGTGGGTTAGCATTACTATGTGTATTTATAGTAGAAACAGTTTTTGAGGGAAAATTCAGTCAAGTAGTGCTTTCTATGATTCTTTTAATTTCAAAGAAGATAAAAGCTTTCAGTTCAGTGGTTTGAAAAGTAATAACATCTTATTTACAGGATCAGAGGTGCTGATTTATCTTCATACTAATTTTTCTGCTTGCGACAACTTTGTGCAATTGTCTCACAATCCCTTTTTCTTGCCTCTGGACTTGCTACCACTTAATTAACTTCTAATCCACATTCCTTGGCAAGATTGATGTGTTGTGAGGCAATGTATTCAAAATTGTGCTAGCTTTGTTCTTTTAAACAATGTCAAGTTAAAAATTTAAATCTAATATTGTGAAATTTCTTATGGCAGACAAAACGTGAGTTCTTCGAAATGCTACGGGAGCGTTCCGAGATTGATCGTCATTCTCGCTGGAGTGACTGTAAGAAGTCGATTGAGTCTGATTCACGCTATCGGGCCGTGGACTCAAGCACTCAACGTGAAGACTGGTTCCGAGAGCACATTAAGCATCTGAAGGAAGAGAGAAAGAGAGAGAAAGAACGCAGGAGAAGCAAGGATAGAAGAAGAAGTAAAGACAGAGATCGCAGTCGTGACAGAGAAAGAAACAGAGATGATAAAGATAAAGACAAAAAAGATGATAAGGAGAAGGAAAAGGAGAAGGACAAAGAAAGGGACAAGGACAGGGATAAGGATAAGGACAAGGATAAGGACAAGGACAAGGAAAAGGAGAAAGAAAAAGAGAAAGAAAAGAAAAAGGAGAAAAACAAAGAGGAGAAAGAAGAAGGAGAAAATGATGATGATGATGAGGATGAGGAAGAAAGAGGAAGTGAGGTAAGTTACTTTGGCTTGACAAGAATTTTTCTTTCTCTAAAATACTCCCTTACTCATTTCAATTCTATCCATAGGACAACCGCTCAGAAGATGAGCGTGAAAAAGAGCAACGAGACAAGGATAAGCAAGCTCGTGTTCAAGCAAGTTTAAGAGAGCGAGAAAAAGAAGTCCAGCGTACATTAGCTACTCACATGCGTGACCGTGACAAGGAGCGTGAGCAACATAAACATGATGAAGCTGTTCAACATTTTAATGCACTTCTAGCTGACTTGGTGAGTTTGAAGTATGTAATATTAAACATTTATGCGGTTATGGGGAAACGATATTTATAAAGATATGTTTTTCTTCTCTAGGTGAGAAATGCTGATCTAATTTGGAAAGAAGCCAAACGACAACTACGCAAAGATTCAAGATGGGAACTTGCAGAACTGTTGGATAGAGATGAGAAAGAGAAACTGTTCATGGCTCACGTTGAACAACTAGGAAATAAAAAACGAGACAAGTTCAGGTAGTTATTGTATGAAGTTATGATAATGTCCTGAATATAAGGACGTTTCTTTTGAGGCATTGTTATAAAAAACCAAATTTTCACTCACCTAGGGAAATGTTGGGAGAAATATCAGAGCTGACGCTTACAAGTTCTTGGAAAGACATCAAGAAGTCCATAAAAGATGACCCACGGTACTCTAAGTTCTCTTCCAGTGATAGGGTAAGTTTTCTACATCATCTCTGCTGTAAAAACAACTTTGTCTGTTCATAGTAAAGAATCATAATTTTATTTCCAGAAATGTGAGCGTGAGTTCAAAGAGTACATTAAAGATAAGCTAGTCGCAGCCAAAGCAGAATTCAGAGAACTTTTACAGGTAATCACTGCCTATTCAGTTTCTGTACTTCATCTTAATTTGTACTATACTTCTCTTTTAATTCTGATCTATTTCACATGTTTGTTTTTTATATTTATATTTTAGGAAACCAAGCTTATTACTCATAAGTCATTAAAAATGGTCCAAGAAAATGAATCCCACTTGAAAGAAATAGAAGAGATTTTAAAGAAAGACAAAAGGTACTTGATTCTGGACTATATGCCAGATGAAAGGACTCGCTTGCTTAGGACATACTTGGAAGAACTTGACAAACGTGGTCCACCACCGCCACCAACAGCATCAGAACCATCTAGAAGACCTACCAAGTAATGTCATATTTTTCCAATTGAACACTATGACTGTCTGATATGTACAATAATGTATTTCTTTTCTGTTTGGGGAGTTTCAAGTTACTGGTGTTGTATACTGTATACCTCTGTTGGTGCACAGTTCTGCCATTGATTTTTTAAGAGATCCTCTTTTTCTATGTTATCTCGTCTGAAAATGGAGACCAATTATGTATGTTAATTTGTGTGTGCAATGTTGTTTGTTGATTATTGAGTGAAATGTCTTGTTACCCTATCTAATTACACACTTATTTGAATGTATTTTGATTTTAATGCAATAGACATTGTCCTTATGTTTTTGGCAAAAGTTTGTTACTTAAAATTTTAAGATCAAAATTGGAAGAGTGTTTTTTTGTTTTCTTAAGTGTAAGAAGTATCTCATTTGTCATTGAATTGTATATTATATACAGAAGGAAAACATTCCTTTGTGAAACTGCAATTTAACTTTTATTGTTCAGAAAAATGTTCAATAAAGTAACTCTTTCCATTTATATTGCTGGAAGCTTTCTTTACATCTCACAGAGTATGGTATAGTTCGTTAAAATTGCATTTTATCAATCTGGTGCAATTAGACAATCTTCATCTAAAGTAGTGAAGAAGGTGAAGATTTTCTTGCTCAGCTGTGGCCCAATTCTCCTGGTTGTAGACAAGGGCCCTGGTCCTCGTCGTACCTATAAAAGAAAGATTTCAGTTAACGTAGATGACATTCAGAGATATAAAAATCAGTAAACATATAATTACAGGAATATCTTCTAGAAGGTAATGAGCAGCGTCTTCACTTGAACAGCCTTCATAAGCCTTCATAAACAAGCAGTTAAGAAACAATATTAAAAATAAAAAGAATTAGCTTTACCCATATCGGTCATAATACTGTATGATGACTAGATATGAGTAACAGTATCTACACTCTTGATTGTAGACACATACTTGCAATAGACTCATGGGTGATGGGTAAACAGAGGCTATTGCCTCTGAGGTCTCACGTGATGCTAAGGGAAACTGACAAAGTTGACGTTGCCAAAGCTGAAATGAACCATTTCCATCTTTATCCACAGCTACGCAGTCTTTTGAATCGGCTAATGCATACCAGTCAAGCCTTTCTGCATCCTTCTCATGCTTTCCTCTTCTGAAAATATAGTTTGAATTTAAGCAATTATCAAATGAATCGGTAAAAAGTTTTCATACACTAATAGGGTTGTTACAGTACTTACTTGAATGGTGCCTCGGCAATTGCTTTTGTGAATTGACAAACTAGATTTGCCATATCAGTCTTATTATTGATACAGCGGTGATTAATGTTGCACTTAATTTGAATTTCTGCCAGGGCATATTCAACATCACCCCTATGGGAAGAGATATGTAATGTTATAATGAAGATGTCAAGGACAGATGTTTTTCATATGCAGTAAGATGGATGCGTTAATGTGAATTATACCTAGACACTTGTGGTGCTGCTTCTACGGTGCCCTCCTTGACCCTTCGCTTTTGTGGTCCAGTTCCTAACACATCTGAGCGAACATCTCTCCTCTTTTGAGTTTTTTGGAATCTGTCAGATGTAATAACGTTATAGTACTCACAGGAAAAAACTACTTCACACAAGCATACACATAAGTACATTTACCTAAAATAATCTTCAAGACCAAATATGACAAGGGTTAAGTCCCGATCAGGGAGTAATGCTGCGATTTCCTCTATAGCTTTATGAAGAGAGTTCTCATGAACCTGCTCAATTAGTTTATTCCACATCCACATGACTAAAACAGTTGTCTCACTTTGAGTAGTTATTTTTTTTTGAATCTAAGAGTATGAAAAGTATTTCTTAAATACAAAAATAACACCACAAAATGCTTTTTACTGATAACTACAGATAACTGATAATGAACCATACCACCATGTTTTCATCCACATGCACAGTTTGAATGCGCCTCTCCCACGAAACAGTGCATGGTATGATGGACTCTTCCACTTTATAGTCAACTTCAGAAGCTCTTAGAGCTGTTAGTAGTTCTCCACTATATTCAGAGTTGAGAACACCTGTATCTAAAATAGTCGTTACCCACTGAAAATGAGACAAAAAGTTTACAATGATGTGGTAAAAAAGCAATCTGTAGACATCCTTCAAAACCAATACCTTTAGACATTCCCCTGGCTTTTTGGCTCTCTCAATCTCAGATGTGGCTTGTTTTAGTGCCTTAGAATGAGCTGCTTCCTTTTTTTTCTTCTCTCGCTCTTCTTGCACTGCTTGTCGCTGTTTTGCTTTTTCAGCCTGTTCAAGCTTTTTCCGCAATTGTTGCTCCCCACGTTTATTGCATTTTGCCTTGTGAAATAAAATTTATCAGATAAAAGTGTTTCTGTACAATGCTAAATCACAGCAATTTAAGTCAGGTACCTTTTCTGGTTGCTGAGATTTTTCTCTTTGTATTTCATCACCCACATGCAAGTTGTACTGGATAGTTTTAGTTTCCTTGTAAACTTTTTGACTAGTTCCAAAGTTTATATTTATATCTGGCAATTCATCATCAGATGAAGAAATTGCTTTGCCTCTTTTCCTAAAAGATCATTTATATATTAAATACAATCATATTGGAATTTACAATTATTAACTAGACAACAATCTCTCACATTTGGGCACTCTCATCAGGCTCATCAGAATCAGACAGATCATGTACAAGCCTGACTGTGTCTTTTGCAGATCTGCAAAAAAACAAAAACAATGTTCATCATTGGCTTGAAATGGAAAGACATGTGTGATATAATGGTACCTATACTGTTGCAAAAGCATCTACCCAGGATTTTTAGAAGGGCTGGAAGAACCTCCATATTCTTGACTGGTGCTCGGTCTTCTCTCAAGTTCATGAAGTGAGAGATGGTCAACAACCTCGTTTGTACCATAATCAAAGTCCTCTACCTCCTCAAAGTTGTTTTGAGACAGAGATAAGTCGTCTTTTACAATCCTCGAGATAGGAGCTGGCGAAAAATCTTCATCGTCATCACTTGACAAAACTATAATTTTTTCCATGACTTTTAGTGATAAAAACCTAAAATAAAATAAATATACAAGTAAAACATCAGTACACAAATGAAGAGGTTATGGTTAAACTTATCTCAATTGCCCCAATAGAAGTGTCATAACTGGAAAACGATGGGAAACAATCAGTAATGAAAGAAAGCTCAATCATGGAACCTGTGCTGTCACGGGAAAGATAGCTATCTCAACAAAAACATTTGTCCAGACACAAGATACAACACAGCTGCAAAAATGGTGGTTGTTTTGGAAATTACGCGCGCTCGCGCTAGTTTGATAAATTTGTCATACAGCAACTTCCATACAATTTCTTGTAAACAATGGCGTCGTCTGAACCCTTGGATGATAGAAAAAGAGTTAAAATTCTGATTATTGGAGCAGGAATGGCAGGATTGTCGGCTGCAAACCACTTAGCCAAGAATGGAATGACCGATTTTCTGGTTTTGGAAGCTTCTAACAAAATTGGTGGCCGAATCTTCTCAGCGCAGACAGGTGCCCTAGCCATCCTTCACATAACCTACCGGTCCATAGTTGTTTCACTGAATATTTCCTTGTCCTGATCTATATCACACTGATTTTGACTGAGACATGTAGTTTTTTTTCCCACATGATACCATGTGTTCAATGAAATTATGGGTATTTTTAATATTATTTTGCAATGTGTTATAGGAAAGCACAGGCTGGAACTCGGAGCAAACTGGATTCATGGAGTACTCGGAAACCCGTTGTATGAAATTGCGATCGCAAATGGTCTGATTGATATCGTTCATGTACCAAAACCTCATAGAATTGTTGCTGCTACTGAAGATGGAAAGCAAGTACCTTTTGGTGTGCTGCAGGTGTGTGGTGAAAATTGATTCTACACGCAAGAAATTCAGCAGTGCACATTTTATCTTAACTTTCAACTAACTTATTTCATAATTGCAGGAAATGTATCAGGCATATGTTTGCTTCCTTCGGAGGTGCGAAGAATATTTCTTATGCCAGTACCTACCCCCAGAGGGTATTAATAGTGTGGGTGAGCATTTAGGGTTAGAAATGACTCTTTTCTTGGAGAGAGTAAGTGATCCTGTACAACGCCATCTGCGCTCACTGATTTTTCGATGCCTGATGAAAAGAGAAACCTGCATAGCGGGTTGTCACAGTATGTCAGATATTGATCTACTGCAGCTTGGTAGCTATACTGAACTTCAGGTAAGTCACCTTCATTTGATTTGTTCATTGGATTTGTTTTTCTCTTAAAGTTTTCTTTTAATATCTTATGTATTCATCAGGGAGGAAATATTGCCTTGCCATCGGGTTATAGTAGCATCTTGGAGCCCGTATCAAGGCTCATTCCACCTCAAAACATCTTAAAGAAGCACCCAGTAGCTACTATAAGATGGCGATATAGTGAAGAACTTTTATTAGGTAAATGTGTTGTAAGCCCTGGCACAGACTCTGGCATTGACTTACGAGGTCTAGGAGATGCTGGAAATGAATCAGATGATTCTGATGTCACAGTTACCGGAGAAACTCCGCCAGATATCTCTCCGAATTCCAGCAGAGAGCCAAGCAGTGAGAAGGAATGCATCAGTGTTGTTGAAAATATTAACATTAATGTATCTAACAATTTTAAGTCTGAAGACGAATCAGATTGTACTGTGCCTGAATCAGGTATTGAGTCAAAGACTGAAGAAGAAGATCTTGCTTGTCCTCAGGGCGGTTCCAAAACTATGGGTCACAGTATTCCAAGAAGAAAGAAAAGCAGAAAACGTAAATCCCAACAACCCAATGTTGAAGTTGTGTGTGAAAATGGTCAACAATTCTATGCAGACCATGTTATTTGCTGTATTCCTTTGGGAGTGTTAAAAGCTCAAGCTTCTCAGATGTTTTGTCCTCCCTTACCGCAATTCAAATTAAAATCAATTGATAAACTTCTGTATGACACTGTGGATAAGATCTTCCTGGAATATGATAGACCATTTCTGAATCCAGAGGTGTCTGAGGTCATGCTTTTGTGGGACTCGGAAGAATGCTGCAGTGATGCCAATGAAATGAAAAATAAGTGGTATCGTAAAATATATTCATTTTCTAAAATCTCAGAAACCCTTCTTCTAGCGTGGATTTCAGGGAAAGAAGCTGAATATATGGAAACCCTATCTCATGAAGAAGTGGCGGAAACATGTACTGATATATTACGAAAGTTTTTAAATGACCCTTTTGTTCCAAAGCCAAGATCTTGCATTTGGTAAGACTCTAACAAGTTTTATAAATTCAAACGATTATTTTAATCACTAATAATTATTTTTTCTATACCTTTTCAGCACAACTTGGGGCTCACAGCCATATACCCGTGGGTCATATACAGCTATTGCTGTTGGAGCAAGTCAAGATGACATTGATAATGTTGCTCAGCCTTTATATTCAAATGATCAACAAGTCAAGGTAGCTTTGTGTAATTTGTATCAATCACTGTTGTCCGAGTTATTATTGAAACATGACTGGTTTTTATTACCACTTTATCTTTCAGCCTGTTGTCCTATTTGCTGGTGAGCATACTCACAGCAGCTTCTATTCTACAGTTCATGGGGCATATCTTACTGGTAGAAGTGCCGCCCAGATACTCCTGGCACCTGATTCTCCTGAAGAGCTAATTCTTGAAGCAGATGAGGATGCTAGTGACCTAAGCTCATGGATCCAGGGCATTGCTCTTCAGTGATATAGTTATTTGCTCAGTGATAGAAAAGAAAACTGTGATGTGTTTCTGTGTTTGTTACAGAAAGAAAACCCATTTAAATGTTTCCAGTAAATGTTCCAGTATTGTTACTTTTCAGAAAAAGTGGGTCATACAAGGTTCAGTAGTATGTTGTTAATTGCCCTTTGCTTTTATTTTCTAAAACCAAAAATAGGGATAAAGGTTGTGCTTTTAAGTTTATATATTTTTACCTTGCTGTTACATATTTGCTAACGCTTTTGAATGCCACATTTTTCATCCAGATGTTTTGTATGGAAACTCTTGCCTCATCTGCTTTATTTCTACAGGAACCTTCTAAGTACTTCAGGAGACAGTCCTAGATATTTGTTCTCCATTTTAAAATATCTATCAAACTGAAATGTTTTTATTTTTGCACTGTGCACTTTTATTTTGTGATCTATTTAAGGGCTAGAGCTAGGTGGGTGGCTAAACCTAGGATTGACCAGACAAATTTGGCAATCCTAGGTGTAGCCACTTTTGCTGCTAGCTGTTCCTAGGCTCAGGACGCACAGGTTGTTAAGTGTAGCAGACACATTGTTTAAATTTTTTAGTTGCAACAAAACTGAGAGAGACTGATGTTTATTTTACTTCTGTTTCCTTTTAAAGTTTCTCTTTCTTTGGATGTTTCCTTTTTTTAGGGGGAAGGGGAGGGGGTGCTTCTCTCCTTTTTTTTTCAGAAGTACTGGGTTTACATTAATTTGCTGTTTCCCCTCTCTTTTTTGCATTATCAAATGCAACTGCAAATGGCACTCCAACAAATCTTGTGGAGAAAAATTAAAGAACTAAGAAAGGCACTGCTTTTAATTCCTGGTGTACCTATGCATTTTTAGGTTTAACTTAAGTGTCACCTACATCTTGCTGATCCTAGGAACAGCCAGCAGAAAAAGTGACTTCAGCTGGGATTATCAAATTGGCTGGATGGATTCTAGATTTGACCAGCTAATCCTAGCTGTAGCCGCCCACCTAGCTCTAGCCATAACGAATGTAGCTGCTTGGTTGGTTTTCTCTGCCGTTGCCAGGAAGTTTGAACAAGGTTGTTTTAGATCAGTTCAAGCAATTGTCTGTCCTGCCTGGATTTATCCAACAATAAAAGAACTCTTGTGATTGTGCGGGGTGTGCGTCATGCACAAATATTTCTAGTGTTAAATTATGCCTGCTTGTTATAATAATAATAATTATTATTGTTGTTGTTGCAAGATTCTAATATTGTAAAGAGCTGTGATCTTAGAGCATCTAGCAAGTGTTACTAGTGTTTTAGAAAATTCCATTTCCATTGTATGGTTTTCAAGAATATGGGCAGGCTTTTGTGAAAGTAGGATGGATACATCTGTCAAACTTGAAATCAGAATTTCCGGCCTTCAGAATTGTGGGTATTTTGGTTTTAATTTGAAGAAAAAGTTTGAGCAATTAGTGATTAGATCATTAGGTATTAAATTCGGTCTGTCCCTCTTAAAATAAATGCACACATGAATTTTTGCATTACAGCATTACATTGGTTTATATTTTCTTGAAATAAGGAGGTACAGGACCAAGGAGCTGCTTTCATTGAGAGTCAAGACTGCATATATATGTATTATGAAACTTGCTCTGATTTGTTTCATTCACTAGGTGATTTATTTTACTTCATCAGCCAATTTGCCTGACTGGATGGATTCTAGTTGTCTTTGGCTATAACGACCTTATTTGGATTTGCATGTTGCTTTGTCAATTATTAGAACAAAACTCTTTTACTATGATTGATTGATTGATTGATTGATGCTATTTTTTGCAATACTCATTTACAGCTTGAATAAATTTGTAGTATTTACTCTTTATGACCACTGTGTAGTTCAACACACAAGAAACTTTTTCAATTTGCCAATAAATTTATTTTCCTACTAGGATATCTTGGAATTCCAGCTATCAGCACATTCACTGAACTGAATTTTGAATTCTTGTTCACTACCATAGGCATATGAGAATTGTGTTCTGATTACAGTGAGTGTTTTAAGCTTATACCAATAACTGAGAAATATCTAGTCATTACTTAAGATTTATTTTATAAATATTGGCTGCTTCCAATTTTGTTTTATTTGTATTTTAACCCAAAATACTAGATCTTGGCCTGTTGTTACAATATATTTTATGTAGGTAATAAATTTGTTCCCATACATCAGTGTGTGTTCCTGTTTTTTCTTGGCTTTGTCATAACTTAATTGGTTCTCTGGTAAATTATACATTAGATCTGAGACCTCATCAGGCCAGAAATGTTGGCCTTTGCCAAAAAAATGTATGTCAGAAGTGGGATTTGAACCCACGCCCTCAGATGAGGACCAGAACACTCGAACCCGGGTCGATCGGGCAAGGGAGAAACCTTGAGTCTGGCGCCTTAGACCGCTCGGCCATCCTGACATTGCTGGTGGGGGTGAAACTCATGAGAAATACATTCGTGTGACTTTCAGCTAGAGTACAGTTACCAGCTTGGCCAACTAAAGATCTGTTACAACTAAGAATCAGTTTGCGAATTCAAGTTCATTACCAGTTGCCATTTAAGCAATAATTAAAACAAAAGACTTTTTGGTGCATGTGTAAAACTATGAACAACTTCAATCTCGAGAAGTGTGAGTGATTTTGCGATTCTGGAGTAACATATGTTGGCTAAACATGTTCGTCTCGTGTAGTACAGCGCGAGCGTGCAGCGATATTTGATCGTGTCATGATACAGAAGTTGATAACGGGCTGTCTCAAGTCAGTTTTGTTTCACACTCCTGTGTGCCGGGCCGGTCTTGTTGCTGCGCGATTCTGTGGTCCAGCCTTTTTATCAAATTCCAGTATGTCACTCCTCGAAAGCGCGAAAAAAGCTGCTGCTTTCCGTGCCGTAGATGAATGTGTGAAGGTTAGTGGAGCCCATAGCAATGTAACAAGTGGTAATTTAAGAACAGAAAAATAATGATCTTCCTTTTAGTATCAGCATTTCTGTCTTTCCTCGAAATGGCTCAATGTCTAGGTCTCGGCGTTTCTTTTCCTACTTTCAAACGATTGTTACCATGCAATGAGGACCCAGTTTGTTTCGCTTCACCAAATGACGTACCTTACCTTACCCTAATTCTTCCAGGACAAGGACATCGTCGGGGTGGGCAGTGGTTCGACTGTTGTATATGCAGTGGAAAGATTAGGTTTGGTCATGTGTACTCAGACAAGTGGTTAAAAGCTCAACGTTTAAAATTTAATCTTGTTGATTTCAATCCCCTTTTTTTCTATTTCAGCGGAACGTGTGCAAAAAGAGAAGCTACAACTAGTCTGCATACCAACATCTTTCCAAGCACGCCAGCTTATAGTTGAAAATAATCTTACTCTTGGAGACTTGTCTCGATATCCACAGGTTTATATATTTATTATTAATTATTAGTACCTCGAATACTTTTACCTGAGCACATTTCTTTATTAGGCATAGTTGCATTTGAATTTATCATCTCTTTTTCTTCTCTTGTTTCTTGCAGCTTGATGTAGCCATTGACGGAGCTGATGAACTTGATAGTAACTTTGTTGCTATTAAAGGAGGTGGAGGCTGTCTCACTCAAGAAAAAATTGTTGCTTCCTGTGCCAAACACTTTGTAGTTATTGCTGACTACACGTAAGTTCCGTAAATACCTCTTCCTTGGTTTAAAATCTGAATCCGTTTCTCTCAAGACTTAACCATTATGTATTTACAGGAAAGACTCACAAGTTTTAGGAGAGCAATACAAGAAAGGAATTCCCATTGAAGTTATACCTTTAGCTTATGTACCTGTGATGAACAAAATAAAAGCACTATATGGTGGTGAGGTTCAGTTACGGATGGCTAAAATGAAGGCTGTGAGTACAGAAGCTAAGATGTTGCACAAATTTTGTTAAAAGAATTATTGGGCACTTTTCCTCATGTGGCTTTACTTTAACAGGGCCCTGTTGTGACAGATAATAGCAATTTCATTGTTGATTGGCATTTCCCTGAAGATAAATTTAATTGGAAAGATGTCAACACCAATATCAACTTAATTCCAGGTAATTTCTCCTCAGATTTTATTCCACAGAAAATGACAATGATTTTGTAAAATGTTTTGTTGCTTTCCAGGTGTAGTGGATACTGGTCTTTTTGTGGATATGGCTGATAGAGCATTCTTTGGCTATGCTGATGGTTCTGTTAAAGAAAAAACTTGCTCTGGAAAGTGATCTGATTATGACAGACATAATACATCTGTTTCAAAATGTTCTCAGACAAGGAACTTGATTATTTCAGAAGATCTTTTTGTTATGTATATTTAAGTAGGACTGCATTGTTTTTTCTTACTCATTTTACTTGTACCAGCTTATTTTTATATAAATTTTTATAATTTCTGCCATTTTTGAGACTGATGTATGTACAGTATCATATTCTGCACCATTTTTTATAGTACAAAAGTTTTGAAAAGGTTGATGCCATAATTATTGCCATTGAAATAGATTCTCATTGTACCACTTTACCATCTTGGTTCTTTAAAACTACTGCTCCTAAGCCTTTACACTTGCTGAAGTAGTTGAGTATTTTTCTAGTTCTCACGAAGGTTCACAGTAGTTCTTGGAAGCAAGAGGACACCTTATGTGACTGTGACTACACCTCTACTTAAAAATGCTAATGCCACACGTTTCCTGTCATCTCTGCAGGGAGAGAACGTTGGCCTAATCCGATGCATTGATGACGATAACTCTTTCAGATGCGCCAGATTTCGTTTGCTTTCCCTGATGTCGCCAGTTACGTTCCCACGGTATTAGCTAGTATCAGCCTGTGATATAGGCATCACTGCAAGAGCGTTGCTGTCAAGTGGTTTGCCTACGTCGCAGGCGGACTGTCTCCGAAGTGCAATGCAGATTGTTAGCGTTTATTTGTTTCTCGATCTGTAAGGTTTTCAAAATTTATCAAGCCAGTTAAATTTGTTGGAATGGAAGGGAGGAGGTTGAAAGGTCACATCAAACCGACTCGTTGACTTAAAATTTATCTTTTATTAATAAAATATTTATACAAGGTCACAGTCATTACACTTGGGTTTTCAGCCCAACTCTCACACATGTCATTCATCACTGTTCATTCGCTCACTCATTCACACGAGGTTATGTACAATGCAGGGTGGCACATCTCAACGTCAACTTTTTTTAAAAACATAATAATACTCAGAGGATTTCTTGCGAGTTGATCTGGACCCGACAGTCGCATGGCCGCGAGCCGGGCCTCAGCTCTAAATGCGAATCATCTTATCCGTTAACTCAGTTGGGAAACGTGTGTCATCAAAGAACTCATTTGTTCACAACCGAGTATCAGAATGACCAGGTGATTCGCATGTAGAGTATCCCGTTTACAGTTTTTCCTCTCTTCGTAACGTTTATTTGGCTTACTTCTATGAAAAGACAACCCAAAGCTGTCTTAACAGAGAGACAAAAAGAAAAACAATTCAATCTGCAATGATAGTGATAACAATACATGTATGAGATGCAGCGGAATTATATAAAAAGAAAACAACTAAATATTATAATGACATAAAAACACAAATTATCAATAACATTAAATCACTTTGGCGGGCGCCAAGGCTGCAGCTGGCGGTCGTGAGAGTCAGATTTGTTCCGTAAAAAATACATAACTTTCTTATTCTTGTTTACTTTCTGCGATATTGGTATCCGCCGTTGTTTTGCTGTGGCTGGTACTGGTTGACGTTGGAGCCCTGGTTGAGCTTGGGCTCGGGGTACTTCGCCTCACCCTCGTACGACACGTCCGCGTTGTAGCCGTTCTGCCAGTCCGCCGTGTAGCGCACGATCTGCAGGCGGCCGTCGGGGAGCTGGACGCGGTACTCGCCGGTGATCACGTTGCCGTCAGACACCTCGTTGCGGCTGTAGTCCGTGCCGTAGTAGTCGTCCTTGACGGCGTAGTTGAAGTCGTAGGGCATGCCGGGCTCGTGATGGTGGTCATCGTGCTGAGGGCAGAGGGGTGCGGGGCCGGGAGCATGGCATTGGCAGTGATCGTATTATTTACACGACTTTTGTTATTGTAAAAAACATACACTTGAAATGCAAAGGAGTATCAGAAGTGAGCGCCAAATAAGTAGCTTGCTACAGAAAATATGGGGAAGTTCCTTAATAAAGCGCCCCATTTTCTGCAGCAAGCGACTTTGGCGCCTTCTTATGAGACACCTTCAAATTAGTGTAGTCAATAAGGGTAGTGCTTAATATTTTGGCCAAAATAAGCGCCTAAATAATTTAGTTAAGGCTAATGTAGCAGGTGTGAGTAGTAATAGGAGGGTCCCCATTACTACTACTGGTGTGGCACTCACGTCTCCTCCGTGGCTCTGGGGCAGGTTCGCCTGGGCGTTGTAGTCGTAGCCGCCGGTGCTGGTGGGTGCCGAGTAGGTGGGGCGTGGCGCCGGGGGCGGGGGCGGGGGCGACGGCCTGTAGGCGGGCGTGGGCGCCGGCGGCCTGGGTTGGAAGGGCACCGACGGCCTGAAATGCGAGGAGGCGCTGTCAAACCTGCAGAAAGGGGGAGGGGGCGGCTCCTCCCGGAGGTGGTCGAGAGGCTGAAATGATGAGGGTGATTTCGCGCCTGCCCTTCGGGCCACGTGTCCGAGCTCCGTCAGCTCCGTCCCCCAGAGGGATGCGAGGTCTACCTCACCTCACCTTCCTGATAGACCAGACCGGTCGTTCGCATCATTGGGGCTCTAAACGCTTCCCGGCCCGGCTAGCGCGGCTCGGCGGCGTGGACACGCCCATCTGACTGGCACTGACCGCACTCAACTCCGCGACCTACCTCACCGCACCGCGCCGCCGCCGCCGGCCGTGCGAGAGGAGGATGGTGCCTACCGTGTTGCGACAGGGGCGGGCCGAGTCTAAGAGGGGGGGGGGGGGGATAAAGCGGTTCGCCTGTATACCAGTCAGTGGGGAGAACGGCATAAAGCAGGAATGCTGCTGCGAAACCCCCGCGTGCGACCTCTGCTCTGTCACACCCAGTGGGTTGTGAATACGGCGCCGACTTTCGACTCATTTGGCGCGGGTTGGTCTCGGCTTATCGTGGCGCGTCGAAGACGATCTCCTGGGGTCGGTAAGAGAGGATCGCCCCCCCCCCCCCCTCGTGTCGACGGAAGTGGCCAAAGTGGTCGGGCCGACTGGTATATATCGCGCGCGGCCGGTGGGGAAACGAATCGCCGTTTAT